CACCAGTTTTGTCCGATTTACAAATGATTTTGCAAGTAAAGCAATAATTAAACGAATGTTTTTGTGAGATAAATTTGAAGTTAAACATTCATACAAATTCATCATTTTTTTGAAAATTAGTTATCCCCCCATTCTGTTCTATTGTGTGAAATAAAAAAAATATCTGTTAAAATAATAAGATACAAATTTAACCTTACTTCCCCTTAATCAAGAGTACCATTTTATGGTGATAATTCCTGCCAAAAGATTTAGCAATCAGATAAAACACACAAAAAATAATCACATTTCTGCTGTCCAAAATCATGAACTTAGCCATTTTAAACGGTTTAGTCAAATTTGCACGAGGTGAGGAATTCATCAACCTGACTTCATTCATTATTTGGAGATATCTTAACCAAGATGGCATTATTGCTAAGAGTAACTTGCATAGAAAATGATTTAGAGCTCTTTTCAGTATTTTGCTGAAAATATTGTTAAAATCTTACATGTATGAATTGAAATATTGTTCGATTTGGACTTTAAAACAGCTCCCAGTCAGCCCCACAGGCCAACTTTGAACATTCATAAATTCTAATATGTGAAAGAAAAACTTCTCATTTATGAAACTTTAATACACAAATCAGTTTTCAATGCATTTCTACAAAGCCAGTATCGATATTGATATTGATTAACTTAATACTCTGTCTCAAAAATGCAACAAAAGCTAATATGTTCGACATTTGAATGCTTTTAGCAATATTCATGGTGTGGTATTTTTTCAATGTGATGGTTCCTATCTATTTTTTTGGCTAATCTGTATTGTACACTGATTGGTCTTTCAATACAGTTTATTCCTACACAAGAGGTTGATATTTACACTTCAATGTTGGTCCAGTAAGCATTTTGCCTTACTTTCTTGATCCTATTTCGGGCGAAAAAAAACATTTTCCCAAAATTCGATTTTTGTAGATTTTTTTTCTGTTAAACCAACCTGTATGAAACCAGAAATAAGCTATGTTGCAATTAGTTTGAGGTATATCATAGGGCGACAAGACAATAAAATGCCACAGGGACCTGAGAAGTTTTTCAGCTGTATTGTGGGCGGGTTCATTTTACTGAATGTTGATCCTAACCCCTAAAACGTGTAAAATTACTCCGATCATCGTAGTTTAGGTCCAAATATAGCTGTAACACATTAGCAGGTCCCTGTGGTCTATGCCTGTTTGATCCATGCGACATCCCCATCATCGGGCTGTCAGTTTACCGATCAACCTAGTGAATCTCTGTCCACATAAAAATGCCAATAGCATCCATACGAGTCATTTTTTTTCTTTTCACTATATTAATTATTAACACTTTGAGCATCATATTCTATATAATTAATATGGTATAATCACAACATTACCATATATTCATATTTTCCTCGAAATCGTTTTTAGTGTTTCTTATATGATGTAGTCCTAGAAGGAAATTTTGTGGCCCTTATAAATTTTAAATCTCCCTCTCTGCAAAAATGATCTTGTATTATGTATAATCTAAAGAGAGATAAATCTTGTTTCTGCAATATATTAAGTCTAAGAGTAATGTCACGACTATCCAACCCTAGTACACCTTCTGAAAGACATGAACATTTTCATCTGAATCTTCCATTGTTTTATCAAATAGCTGACCAGTACAGCGTTATGCAACGCCTCATTGGACGCGTCTATATACAAAATAGACAGAAAAAGAACATAATGTGTCCATGCAGTGTTCTATAAGGTTCAACAAGCCCCATAGAAGAAACTGTAGTCACCCAAAAATTCCAACACCTGGTAAGTCATATTCAAAGACCCGGATTAAAAAAAAAATTGGATTTATATATTGAATATTATATCTATGGTGACAATACTATCTGTCAGGGGGCTTGTTGAACCTTCAGTGAAAAACCCCTACATGAAAAATTTCCATGGAGTTACAACTGTGATCTGGAGTCTTCTCAGCCTATTCCCGCTCTGCTGACATTGCTGTCGTCTGTGTGAAGTCTGACCTATGATGTGATGTTGTCTGAAAGACCATTGATGAGAGATTAAGGTACGTCTTGCCAGAAAGATCACTATATACATGAATTAATTGGTATGCCGTAGAATTCTAGCTTCAGGTCCAAACTTTTGGAAAAATCCAAGATAATAAAGTTTGTCAAAGGATTGCTCGCAAGGTCATTGCAAAGTAGGAATGCAAATTATACTGACCCTAAATACAGGTTCGCTACTCGGTAGCTATGCCATGTTTTCAGGGGTTTTTCCCAACTGCATTCAACTATATTTAGAACTTCTTTTTTGTATTTTTCAAAAATCAGTTTCATGTACTTTGCAATACTCAGCTGGTAAAAAACAAGAGGCCCAATGGGCCTGCATCGCTCACCTGTTATTAATCTAACACTTGTAATCTTAAGATTTCATAAGAACCTATTAAAAGATTTAAACATATGACGCCTCTGACCTTGATTGTCGAACAAGGACATTAGGTTGAAAGTGGATCAAGGTCATTCATTTGAACTAACATGGTAATCCTTCATCCCAGCATGCTACAGGCCCAGTTTCAGTACCCTGGCCCTTTTGCTTATTGAAAAGAAGTCGCTTGAAGATTTTACGACATTTTGCACCTGTGACCTTGAAAGTTGGTCAAGGTCATTCAGTTGAACAAACTTGATAGTCCTTCATCCCAGCATGCTACAGGCCCAATATCAGTACCCTGGGCCTTTTGGTTATTGAGAAGAAGTTGTTTGAAGATTTTACGACATCTGACACCTGTGACCTTGAAAGTGGGTCAATGTCATTCATTTAAACAAACTTGGTAGCCCTTCATCCCAGCATGCTACAGGCCCAATATCAGTACCCTGGGCCTTTTG